GAGAACGTGAGATTTTCTCATTTTGGTTTTTCCAGTCCTGCCTCTTCGTACCCCCTGGGGTTTTTCCCGGGTATCGGATACCAGCACTGGTCTGGGAGTCCCTGGTCCTGTTTTGCAATCTCCTGGTGTCAGCCAGCAGCTCGGGCCTTCCTGTAAGTGCCCCAGCAGTCCCGGAGGAAGAATGTTCCCCCGGCTTTGTGGGGAAAGGTCACACGGGCAAAGGGGCCAGGGGCCGGGCGAGCGGCACGGCACCAAAAACACTGCGGCTCCCAGCACAAATCAAACAAACCCGAAGCAGTTCAGGAGGTGAAATGCTTGGGGCAAGGCCCCCGCTTCCTTTCGCAGGGCAGATCTCAGAGCAGATCTGTGCCCGGGCGGCGTCTGGAGGGATGCGTGCGCGTTTCTGCGCCTTCCTGGCTGGAGGCTGTTTGCTGTGGAACCCGCTCCCCAAAGCGTCTGTGCGGTGCGGGCCCAGCAACACGCTCACCTCCAGCTCGCAGCTTGGCATTCTCTTCCCCTCGTACTACCCCACTCTAGCCAACAAACCCCTCCTCTGCGTGCAATGCGGAAAGAAAGCTGTGACTTGCGGTGGCCGCCGGGGGATTAGCATCTAACATTAAGGGCTTAACGCCCCGGCTCATCCCTGCTGGCCGGGAGTTTCAAGTAACAGCACAGGGCCGCCGCCTTCTGCCCGTGGTAATTTGCAGCCTGCTTTAATAACGTCCTTTACATATCGTTCTCCAGGCTGCCTTCGCTAAGCTGGAGCCTCCTCCTGGTACTTGGTTTTCCCACCCTGTTGGCTCCTGGGGACACCGGTCACATTTATCAGGGCAGGGGAGGAGCAGAGAAAGGAGGAGGAATTTCTAGGTTGGGCTTACGAGCTGAATTTCTCAAAATTCTCAGTGTGTTAAAAAAATAAATAAAATCTGACCCTTCGTCTCTAGGTTACATTTGCCTCTGCTGTGGCTGAGCTCATGGAAAATTGCAGCTTAGCTGCTGTGCTCGGTGCCAAGATTAGTAGGTTTAAAAACTAACTGATAACATCTTTATAAACTTGGAGTAATTTCTTTAAAGCCGTGCTGATCCTTTCAGCCTGGGTTTTTGGAGCTTTCCTAGAGATCCAAGCAAGCAAAGTGGGGACGACAGTATCTGCCCTGAAAAATCACCCTGTCACCTTCAAATACCCCAAGGGAGGAAAGAGGCTCCTGTTCCCCGAGGCCCCGAAGGGTGTGTGTTGGGATCCTAACCAGATATACAGCATTTGACGACGACTTATAATAATCACTGGTTTTATTTTTAAAAAATTACAATAGAAAAGTACCTTTAAACATATTTCCAAAAGCAGAGTAGACAATGTGGAAGCTTCTCTCCTCTCCACAATACAAGAGTACAGGAAATAGTTTGCTAAAAGAGTTAGTCTGTTGCTTGGAAACGCTGGTATCGTTCCTTTGAGAGCCACTCTGAGGTTTGTCTTGGAATCCATTTCTTCTCAGGTTGCCTTTATCAATCCCTCTTTT